CCCCAGTTCCTTCACATAAGCATCACCCCCTGCCATATTCCATCATTTCCATTATGCCCTAAGATATAAGTAAAGAACATGAGCTCCGTTTGTTTCTCTCCGAGGCTCCCCATCTGCTTTTTTTTTTTTTTTTTTAAATAGAAGAGAGTTGGCAAGTTTACATCCCTTCCCTTTCCCAAACACACATTATCTCTGTGAAACAGGTGGCAGCAGTCTCTCCTTTACATGTAAATGAATCTTGATGCCCATATTTACTACAATCCATATCTGCATAGGCCTGGAGTTTTGAATGTTTCACTACTGCAGACAATCATAAATTAAAACAAACCACTATTTTTGAGAATGAGAAAAATAATAAAACATGCTGGGTTTTAACAACATATTAAAACAGTCTCACTTTTAAAACTTTCAAATGTAATGAACCACAAGCTAAATAGGATGTTTATTTACACACTAGCATACAAGAAGATTTAACAACTGAACATGAAATTAAGACACTGTTTCATTCACGTGTAGAGAAGATCTAACCTAATACTTCAAATCATAAATACACTGTTGGAGCAACTGCCCTAAATTCCTTATTAACATGCAAACTCTTAAAACTGCAAAGCTGATTATGTGGAAGCAAACTCTTTAACCAAACCAGCCCATTCACAAAACTTGCTCTTTTTTAAAATGACTGAAAGCATTTACAACAATTCAGAGACACCAGTAATCCTAAAACAACAGTTATTCCGTAATTACTCCCAAAGCCTTGCAATTAAAACCCTCCAAATCGGTAGGTTAAAACAGAAGGGTTGAATAGGTTTAAGGCAAGCGCTATATAGTTACTTAAAAAGAAATGTGTTTCAGAAGAGGAAGAATTAGAGTCAGCAGTTCCCATCAGTTTTGTTCTTCGTCCAGCTATCTGGTAAGATATAGTCTCATGCACCCATGCCTCATTTTATTCTTGCAAAAAAATAAAAATTCCTCTTTATGACATCAGTGGCTTTCTTATTTCTACACACACTAGGTTTTAATTTCATTGCAGAGTCAAGATGGATACTGAGAACAGAGAGCAAGATTAGGTTTTTTTGGAAGCAAATACTTTGCAACAAAAAACCAAAGATTAAAGTCTGCTGTTTTTTATTGGAAGACATTTTCTGTCCCCTCTTTCACTCAAGTTTCTTCCTACGTTAAAGGAAATGACAATAATCTTCACTGACAGTTCTACAGGGACTGCTGTAGATACTGCCATCATTTGCCGGACAGGAGGCTTACTGCGGTGTACTTGGGTAATATCTTACCCCAGTGATCTGTCCTCCGGCCAGCATGAGCTGGGTCTGGGGTATGGCCGCCTGCACTGAAGGCTGCTGGGAAGGCTGGCTTGGCTGCTGAGAGTCCCCAGATTCTTCATTAGATTTAGACTAGTCAAAAAAAAAAAAAAAAACAACCCACAACTCTTTATAGTGTAAAACAGATGTTAATGTATAACACTGCTATCTCAACACTGCACAATAAAAATCTTTCATCTGCATACAAAAAGCCCTTGGGTTTATTTTAAGAGTGTGTTTAAGCAATGGCTCTATGTGCCCACCATCTCAGCTACGATTGCTCAAACATGTCTGTAGGTAATGCAGTTTAAACCAAACAAAAAGACTCTCAGGTCTTTTGTAACTCTTTGACATTATTTTCAGGTCTCATTTCATTTAATGCAATACAACTGAAGCTGACACTACCTTTCTCCATAAAGAAAGAAAAGGTAGTTAAAATTATTCATTGCCTAAAATCCCGAACAATGGAACAAGGGAAAGGAGATTGTGTTTCCGTTTTCTATATCTGCATCCTGTACCTCTAAGTTATCATCGTACTGTTGGCTTATATGGAACTAGTTTGAGAAATCCTCACAGGTTTATCTTCCTACAGCAAAATACATAGTACATACAGTGCTTTTAAACAATCAAAGTTTAGCATGTATTTAATTGAATGCTGCTTTATTTTAAAAGATTTTGGGGTTTTGTTTTTGGAGGGTTTTTTTTAAACAGAAGAAATTGTGAAGACATGAGGGAGAAAATGCAAGTGCATGAAGAGAGGGAGAGAGTTTTATGATAATTAAAACTGGTTATGCAGAACATTAAAATTCTGCATAGATTTGCATATTTTCCACCACCTGTTTTGGGGACTGCAGAGCAGGCTAATTAACATAAAGGCTCTGATTAATTCTGCCAGTCATTGAGCGATAATTACAGCGCAGGACTGTAAACATTCTGCACTGGAGATACAGCCTGTTTGCCAACATCTCTCTCAGGGATGGAAGTTTACCATGGCAACCAAGGCAATTTTCTGCCTCCTTCCTCTTAGAAAGGAAGGTCACTATACCTCCTCTTCTTTCCAAATTGTTATTATGTATAAGTGGGTCCACATTCTATTGCATTTCATGTAATGCACTACCTACATTCTTTAATAACAAGCAATACTGAAACCAGTTTTCAATAAAACTGCATCCTTTGCCCCTTAATATAGCACTGAGAGGAAGTGGCACGTTAACCGATACACTGAAGTGTTCAGCATCATAAAAAAGTTTGAAAGCTTCGTTGTCTCACGTACATTATTAAACAACAATTACTCTGACTTATTTTGAAATCACTATGTGTTATTTAGACAAGCAATCTATGCTAGCGACATTAAATAGCTGATGTTACATTATACTCCTACATTCAGCTACCAGAAGTAAGGACAAATTGCAAAGTAAGACTTGCTATGTTTAAAATAAGTGAATAAATGGAAGAACATGAAAACTATAAAACTCCAGGAATATTCATGATACAATACCTGACTGAAATTCAGTATAAAATTACTATCACCATGTTTTAAACAACTCCAGTTTCTGAATGCTTACAATTCTGAACCTGATTTACAGTTGTAGAACTATTATTCCTTCATACCTATCACTTGCAAGACCAGTCAGAATGAAAAAACAGAGTAACACGTAATACACCTTAAAAACTCTAATGGGACCATAATGCTGTTTGTAATGAGAAGGATGAGCAGCAGAAGGAAACTGTCTTTACCTGTACATTTAAGGACTGAGCAGCAGCCTGTAAACTTGTTCCAGCGAGCTGGACCTACAATATAGTGCAAAAATGGAAATGAAATAATGTAGAATCCACAGAAAACTTTAATGATGTAAACAAAGAACAATCTCTCTACCCGCACCCCAACAAAAACTGCCCCAAGAACAATGCATGCTCCTCTAACACCTGAATCAGTGAAACAGTGCTTGTGCTCCAGGCTAAAATAAAATCCGTAAGACTCTTCCACAGTGTTATTTGTCTACCTCTTGCTGAAAGTATTCCTGCTTAGGGATCTAGATATTATCATGAAATTGAGTTGAAACAGAGCATTTTCGGGTAGACAGGCGAACTATTCCTATTCCTGTTTAAAAAATCCAGGCATCAGGGGAGAGCATTAAGCCGTACTCATCATCACCCTTCTAGTATTTCAGAATGGGTCTTAGTCCAAATATGTACACTGCGTTCACCTGCTTCCTTATACGACAGAGGAGCAATCACCTGCATAGCACAAAACCCACAGCATAAACACTTCCTCAAATCAACCTGTTCAAGTATTTGCAGTCCTCAGCCACTGAAAAGAAGATCTCAATATGGAAGACTGGAGACACTTTACAAAGGCTGTATTGATTCAGGTATACTCAAAACTTGAATCCAATGTTTGTGATTAACAGATCCAAAGAAGTTCTTGTGGGTTAGCAATGAAGAAAACCTGATGCCTCAGTAAGTGAAATTTTTTAAAAGTTTTATTTTACCTCTAATAAGGATTTTCTCACTACAACAAATGCTAAAATTTCATTTACTGAAGACCGTTTTAACCAGTCTTGCCTTGTTTCTACGACACTCCTACTATAAAGAAGGAACGCTATGTAATTAATTACCAACACTTTCAAAGGTCAGAGTTACAGTCTGTAGTGAATTCCATCTCTGGCCATGTTTGAAAACCGCTGCTCATTTGAAAACCAGGCAACACAAAAGGATACAATAAAGCAAAGCAAAATGTAGCACTCTTGCCTTTATAAAAAGATGTCCCCACATAATATATATCACAAAAAAGAGTCCACAAAAGAGTCCACATATCTGCAAGCACAGGAAGGAGTGTTTTAACTTAAATTGCAGTACATGAAATTAATAACTGAATATTTAAATAGGCAACCCTTCAAGAGTGACCTTGGAAATATTTCCTACCACTCCAGATGAAGGTACCAGACTTACTAAGTGTGTTCTACATCTAAGCAAACAATCCCAGAAAAGCTCCTCCTCATCACAAGAAAAATACAATTTGACACAGTTGATGTAATCTGAACTTTTAACATGAATTAACAACACAGAATAATAGCCTGCTGCCAAAAAAATATATTCAGAAATAAAACTTTAAAAATTACATAATAATAAAAAAACCACATAAAAGTCTACAAATGTATCTCACTCAGGTACAGCGAGCATATTCCTGAATATGTCTTTGAATGCCATTTGGACACCCCTTTCACCACACAGCAAACATTTTCTAATTAGAAATTAAACTTATCCTGAATGTTGCCTACAACCTAATATTTTGCATTAGTCTGGAGGAAAGCACTGTGTGTTAAGGCTGAATAACACCCCACGAACAGCAGCCACACTAGAAGAGGACGGTTTGACAATAGATTCCCACACACCTGCAGGTGCATAAAAGAATAGCTGAGATTTTCCTTTGAACTAGAGTCTCAAGAAATGAATCACACCTTTACAAACATGAAGTTATAAAGATCCTGACAACTGCTTAAATAAATACATTTCCAGAGCAAGATAAAGCACTGTGCTAAATACATTTACTGTCCTGGATCAATCTATCTAACAAAACGAAGACTAAAACAAACACACAAGATTCTGCAGAACAGCTGTATCTGTTTCCGTGTTAAACACATACTGACAACCCATGAAAACTAGTCAGCTTCTCTCCACATAAAGGCAGCCTACAACAGCCTATTGGTTCAGGAAATTTGAACACTGGCACTCCCTAGGTCCTATATAACGCAATCTACTAGGAAAATAGTAATTATGTGACAAGTCGTGTGGAATGTTCCATACAATAAAATGGCAGTTCAGAGCTCTTGAAAGAGGGTATAAAAGCTTCAATACATCAATTATACCACAATAACTGTGCAACCTCAGACCTCAAACATTGAAGGTCAGCCAATTAGGTACAGTATTTTAAAGTTTAAACTTGGTGCTGAGGAAGGGAAAGAAATTAGGACATTTGTTTTCATACATCAAGTGCGAACAGATAAAAAAACTACAAAAAATGCCCCTTATACTTCTCTTCACCTAGGGATGCCCCATTTTGCTTCAGCCTACATCTGAAGTTCAGCTTTGATTCCTTAAACACTGCAGCAGCAGAACAGACGGACAGTAGTAGAAGCCTGAATATCATCTGACAAACAGGTCCTTGAAATAACTTAAAAAAACCCACACCTCACAAACCATATATGCTTAGTAAGTACAATCACTTTATATTTCTAGTTAACGTGTACGAGTTTGAAAGATTGAAGTATAGTGCTGACACCACTTCTGGTTTCTTAACTAGGTAGTGAGTTTCAGAACCTTAGCAGCTGTTGGGCAAATATAATCCTTTACAAAACCGATAAAATTTTACCTTGCCTTTCAATTTGGTATCTCCATGAAGGGTTAAAAAAAAAAAAAAAAAACACCACAACACAAAAAAAACCCACAAAAAAAAATGAAAACAAAACCAACAAAAAAACCAACCAAAAAAACCCACTAAAACAAAACAACAGAACGCCCTCCCAAAAAAAAACCAAACAGAAAAAACAAACCAACACAAAAACTTCAGACATTCTCAAGTCCCAAAATAGGGGCTTTCTAGTTCCCCCAAATAGGTCTCACCCTATCTTGACCTATTCTGCAGCCTAATGCAATGAAGTGAGTGCCACAATAAGAACTTTTCCCATCCAAGCTATTTAAGCATATGGTCTACCCGCATGTTCCGTTACATGACTACCCATCATTCACAGAAAGAGAGAACACAGAACATACAAGAGAAGCTGCATTCATACCTGCACAAGTCCACTCTACTTTGAAATGGGTCTTCTCTTACCTGATGAAGGTGCCCAAGTAAGGCCTGGGCCTGGGCTGTAGAGATCGCTCCTCCGACAGGCACAGGCTGCTTTTGAAAGTCCAGGCCATTTGTTTGCGTGCCTGGAGAAAGAGAGGTATTAAGAACTATTAGTTATTACTTTTATGAAATGGAATAAGAATTAGTATTCCTAAGCCTCCTGCTATTCTCTCAATGCTATGTAGTAGAAAAATACTCTGAGTAACAAGAATTGAAGGCTTTTTTTACTAAAAGGTGGGGTGGGGAAGCAGTATTACTTCCAAACTTTGGTAATAAAGCATTTATCAGCTGAACAAAATCAACATCATATTTTCTTTGGCTTCTATCATCTTACCTATTCTATGTACACTATTACCCCATCATTCTCTACTATGGTTTGAGAACCAAATGGGTGTACGCTGCTAGGATTAAACTGTGTTTCCATTCTCCATGCATTCTCTATCCAGCAGCGGAAGACTATCTTCAAGTTCAGAAAATGGCAAGAACAAGGTTCACATAAAGCCACCTTTCACTAAAGACAAGTAAAATAATACTTGATGAAAACAGAAGTACTGTATATAGATAGCAGTTATGGGCCGCAGTTTTAAGATACCTCCACATTTCCATGAATATTTGTGCTCTCATTACGTAAGATAACTGCCTGGGCTTGCTTTTGCTCTCCCCCACTTTCATACAACTAAAACCTGATTACTTCCCAATGTTTTTTGTTTTCTTCCTAAACAGCTTGGACGATATGAAAACCCCCTAACTATCCCCAAATAATCTGGTTGTGAGAAGGGGGGTGGCGTGGGTGGGACCAAAGAAAAAACATTTTTTCCATAAGAAACTACCACAGAATTACAGAATTCTCTTCTCCCAAGAGGAGCTATAACTACAAACTTTTAAGAATCATTCTGTGGGGAGATGATAAAATCAACATTAGGGATTATCAACAACTGGTTCTGTATGTTGTTATTACCACCTACAGTGGCTAACAACAAGAAGGGAGACTCTGAGTGTAATCAGCCTGGTTGGGATTTCTAGAACAGATGATGCAATCTTAAAAATTGCATGACTGAAATGAAGTAAAACCAGCTTTAAACTTGCATGTGTACTCTTCATGACAATCGAATTTTATAAAGTGCCTGCAGACAGGTGTTCAACTAACTCCTACTTCAAAATTCCTTGCATCATCTACATTTTCCATCATAAAAATCTAGGTTATCTACTAAGCAAAAGAGAGTCACAGTTGTTAAACAACACAGTTGTTTTCTATTCCTTAGAAACATCTGCAAAAGCAAGTAGGCATAAAAATTGATTAGTGAAATACACTATCCAATATTTTACATTGCTATTTTGACCTACAAACAGCTTAGATAAAATTTCCAAAGATAGAGTCACTGTTCAATTAAATAGAGACACAACACAGAGAGTCAAGTTTTCTAGCACCCATGTAAGGTACACCTAAGGTGGCCCTTTGATGCATCTTTGGACGAGATTCTGTGGGGGAGGAGTTGGTCTACTCTCAAGTTTTTAATTCTGTGCTTTGGGCCAGGGTTTACAGACTTAAGGGACATATGTGCAGCCAAAGATCCACAGACATGTTAAAAATAAAACTAGTTTAACTATGCATTAAAACGATTTTAAACTATGCAAAATTATTTTGCTTAATGAGCCTAAAATTCCAATCCAAAGTGAATGGAAGGACTATCATTCGTCTGAGTTAATCCTGAATGAATGGAACTTGATTGCATTTCTCCAAAAAAAGGTAGATAAGAAGGTCTGCTGGAAAGAGCTAGAAGAATGTCATCTATTTTCATTCTTTCCAGTAAACTGAAGAATTCTCTCAATGCAGAAGGCCAAAGGGAGTGGGAAAATAATTGGGTAAATATATAAAAATAATTCCTGAGAAACAGCTACTGTAATTCAATGGAAAAAAATCTACCACCTCCTTATTTAAGCAGATGCTTTGAATCAGTTTTCAACCTGTGGTCAGGTACACACTTGTACGAAAAAAAATATACAGATAAGAAAACCTTCTGTAAGGCAAACATTCTTCATTCCAATCAGAAACTTGCAGTGGTCAAAAAAATTATCAATTTCTGAGAGGACTAGCTGGAAGCCTCACCTTAAATAAATAGGTGAAGCTGTTCCAGTTAACAATCTTCCAAAAAGACCCTCAAATCATGGTACCATATTAAATGATCACTGTTGTGCATGTGTGCAGAAGAAATGTTTCAGTTAGAGCTTCTACTGACTCTTAATATGGAAATTCGAAATGAGCCTCCTAGAGTTGATAGTGTTTAACACAGCAAGTTCCAAGACTGAGCTTAAAAATCTCCATGGGTCCCAAAAACCAGTTTAGACAGGTACTGAGAGAAAACAACATTTTATTTAAATTCAACCTTGAAGGACTCCAACTCCCTCTTCCCGCACCTCCCAAAACCAAACTCAAGAGCAAAAAAACCCAAACCACACCTGTTTACTTCTCTGTACTACTTGCATCTTAAGCTTTCTTCCATATTTGGAAGTATAGTGTCCCTTTCCCTTTGGATGCGGCCTTAGTTTTGGAAGGAACGCTACCCAGGTTGCTTGCATTCATCACAGGATGCCTACATCTTCTGAAGAACAGCAGTGAAAATGAACTTTGAGTCCAGCATATGAGAGGCCTTGCTCTCAAGGTGCTCATAAAGATGTGACAACACTCCTGTGGAATCCAAGAAATCTGTTCAGGAGACTGGAAAATGGAGCTGTCAGAAGCAGTAGGTCAGCACATTGTGCAGACATGAAAGGACCAGAACGTCACTGCTGCTCAAGGTGAGAGTTAAATGCAAAAATGCATGGTGTTTAATAGACACAGCAAATGCAATCACAAGTATTATGATTTTAACAATCCCAAGTATTTATGTCTTTTCCATCTCCATCCCAGCTCCCATAACTGCTAGAGCTGATCCAACAGCTCACCAACAGCTCCCATCTCCCCTTTCTTCTTAGTTCCAGCTACATTGTCCCTGTCCTGCCCCTTCTGGTAGTTCATGGACACAGCAGCAACCCAATTCACCTTACTGAGTAAAAAACTATCCACGTGAACTGTTCCCTTTTTCTGTTGGCCAAGTTAGTTTTCTGCCAGTTATGTGAGATTAAGTAATTTACCTTAGGGCCCAGAAAGCAGCAGATAATGCAAAGCAGGGGAGGTCAGAGACGTGGTAGTAGGGAAATGAGCCTCCCCTGCCCCCAGCAAGTTGTCAAGAATCGATCAAGCTGTAGGATGAATTCTCACCCTTATAGCCCAAGTCCACTGCAACTTAAGCACATTTAAAGTCTGGCATAAATTCAGTCATGTGGTTAGCTACTTCACAGAATTGGTTTGGATGAAGACTAATACTAAGTGCAATTAATATTCAACCAAATCAAATCTTTGAACCATCTGACTCAGTGCCACTCCAAGGAAAAGACCCGAACACTAAGTACCAGGACACTCTGACCATGGATTGGTTTATGCTCTCTTGGAATTGTACCTGCAGAGGGTAAAGGCATGACAAAATGGAGCAGGCAAGGTAACACCGCACCTGCAGTCAAGAAAAACTTGCTCTCAAAATCCAAGATCATGATCATCAGACTTGAGTCTGAGTTTTCCTTTCTTATGAAGTTTGTAGAGGAGTGAGGAACTACAGGTCTGGGAAGATTTGGAGTAAGGTGCAAGAAATGACTCAGAAAGAGAAGGCAAACAAGGAGAAGGAAGATTTCAAAACTAACTTGAGTGGGCATCTGCACTGTGCTCTGGGAGACATCTTCCAGCATCAGCAGTACATTTCTCCTTCTCTCACTGCATGAGTGCATTTAGGGTGGGGTGGGGGGTAAGATCCTCAATACTCAGAAATTGTTGATTCCTTATCCACATTACTAATAAGAAGTTTAGCATTGATATTTGCCCAGAATGTTACCTGTTAACGATTATTTCATGGTCCCTTGCCCACTCTCCTACAGACTTTCTTCCTATGGAAACTAGAAAGTCAGTCTCTGGAAACGAAGCAATGCAAACATGAATCCTTAGAATTCTTCCAAATACTGTCCTTACAGAAACTATTATTTTGCTGCTCTGTCAATGCATGTCATAATCCTACAGTTTCCGCAGACATTATAACCTTGGCTTTCATAGTATTGCATTCACACAGCTTTTAAAAAAGAATATGCATTAAACAACTGGGAAAAAAAAAAAAGTTGAGTTGTTTTGGAAAATTTTATTATACTGCAGCCTATAAAAAAGGAAACCAAAAGGGCTATCTGTTTACTGTAAGACACTTCTTGCTTCTCTCTCCTTTTTCCAGTAGATACTAAGTAGACTGTCCACCCACAACTGAAGGCTGGAAAAGCTTTGTGTAACTCTGCAATACTGACGACCAGTTGATCAATTCGTGCTCTTGTGAAAACAGCCATCCAACAGCTCTTGTACTCAAACACTTTTTTGTTGTTGTTTTTAATTCATCAGAAAGACGGGCTGCTTTTTCATATGCTTAAAAGTGGAGTCCAGTTAGCACAAAAATTTTAAAGTTAAAATCTGTTTCAGGCATTTTATTGTGACCAATGTGTTCAAGGGGACTTTACTATGTTCCCTAAATAGTCAGAGTTAGAAATACAAAAGCCTAATTTGTTAAGTTCCATGAAACTTAGATGTTAGCTCAGAGAACTACTGGTGTTAAGTCATCTTTACCAGTAGCAACTGTATTTTTTTTTCCTGAGAACACTAGCTTTGCCAAATGTAAATTCCATGCTCTACAGTGGTTTCTCTTAAAATTTTCAAGTTGCTTCAGCTTACTACAGTTTAAAACAGGAAGGACCCAAACAAATATCCACTGAGGTTCAAAAGACAGACTAGTAGTGCTTACACAGCAAACTCAAGTGATTTACAAATGTGACTGGAAAATTGACAGTTACAGAAAGTTATAAAAATAAGAACTCTTGAGTGTTTATAAAAATCATCTTCACTCGTTTTGCTTCAGAGCCTATGCTCCCCAGACAATCACTGGCCCTTCCAGTTCCTTAGTGTCCGAGCTGAAAGATGATGTCTTTTCACCAAGAACCATAATCTAAGTACCCCGATCAGAAGCCTAAAATTACATTCCATGAGTATTCCTTTCAGGGTTTAACATCTGCCAGTTGACTAACACAACTGATGCTTGAGCCTCCAAAGAACGTCACAAATGCCATTAATTCCTACCTCCAGTGGTTTTTGAGCACTATATTTAAAAACAAAACAATGGCTGCAGAACAAAGGGTCCTCAAAAATTCTAGATTATTTTAGTTTGCATGATTTAAAAAGTCAGGAAACAAAACTGAAAGGAATGACTGGAAACATTTAAAGTACAGAAGTAATGTTTGCAAAAGGTCCAAACACCAGTAAGAGTAAAACTTTTGTGATAACTAACTTTAGTACTAGAGTATAAAAAAAATAGATGTTGTATCCTCTGTTGTGATGAAAGCACCTCCATGCAGCTTTACAATCTATCCATTTCTTTATACCATAACCACCACTTTCATGCAGATGACGCATCTGCTTACGATAGCAGAGCCAGGGTTCTGCTGAAGCAGATGCAATACTTCTGTGATAATGGACTACCTTTGAACAAACCAAGTTCTGCTCTTTAACAGCTCAGTTTAGGTGAAATTGCTAGTTAAAGCTGCACTTAAGGAATCACGTTGGGAATGTACTTTTTGAAGAAAATACGCAGGGAACTGTGGTCATACAGAGCAGGAAGTCTGAATTTTCTCAGAAGTTTACATACACTCTCCAACTACAAGGATTCTATAGGGAATATTTAAAACTATTGTTCTCTTGATGCTGTTTATGATTATGAAATGTTTAAAGCTCATATGTTTTTTGAAATAATGTTTTATATCATCCTAAATCAGTATTAAATACTTAATAAATAATTTTTGTACCTAAAAAGAATTTATACCTCTCCTATTACAAATACAATGGAAATTATAAAAACTGAGATGCTAGTAACAAAACACACACTAATAATCAGTGGGCAGAATTCCTTTTGACTGACCCCATGCATTGGCAGAAAACATCCAGCCTCTCGGATCAGTATCGGGAACATTCAGTCACTCTTAGCTGTATTAAAGCCTTGCACAAAAAATGAGGAGACAGCAGCATAAAATGAAATAAATTGTTAGTTTAATCACAACTCCAGAGTTTAAAATAAAACTCTTATTATTGAACGACGAGGGGGAAAAAATTATTTTTCTCATACAAAGTAACTAGACTTCTCTCAAATCAACAAGAACAAATTCCTTCTCATTAAAGTTTTCTCTTCCCAAATGTTATTATGAGCTCAGAGAAGATTTTAAGTTAAGTTAAACTATTTACTTTCCATTCAGAATTGTCATTTCTCTTGCTTCCAAAATGAACATCAAATTATCTCCAGAAAGGAATAAAGCATGAGATAGCATGATTGAGTTATAGTGGCTTAATAAGCTTCTTCAATGGCTTAGAACTTGGCCACGTTGTGGATGTGTCACCTTGGTCTTGAAACAAAGGCTGTTATTCCCCAGCCAAATTTCAAGGTTCTGTTCTAACACACGAAGAAACTACAGAAAAGCGAGCTAACTTTTTTTTTTAATGGTGAGAAATGACACTTTTTCCCTTTCCCTTGTTTTTGAGAACTGTTGTGAGAGCTTGAATGAAAACTAAAATGAAAAGAAGATCAGCCAGTGGCCCACATCTGCCAGAGAAAATTTCAACCCAAAAAATAATGACAAAGTTAATGTGCTGACAGTATACTATGCCACGAAAAAATAAGACTACTTATGGACAGCTAGTGCCACCAGACCTTCCATAATATCAGAAACATTACAGATAAAGGAAGTGGGGAAGGGGAATCTTATATACAAAGTATGGGTAGTGCTCTGATACAGTAGGTGTGAATAATGCCCAGCATACAGTAGGGTTAATGACAAGACAAAGTGTTCCCAAGTCTCTAAAAACAGTAGGTGTGGGGAGATTGTTTTGTTTTGATTTTTTAATTCCTGTAAAAACTGGTAAAGAAATTTTGCTTTCAATATCCATACAATTCCACCAGAAAATATCCGTGCACCAACTCATCATTTCTTACCTGTGTTCCCATCCCCACTCTCCATTGATGGTTTACTGGGTTCTGACGGATTGTTCATTCTTGAGTCTGCATTAAAACAGAAATAAAGATAAACTAATACAGGAAAAAAAAAAAACCAAACAACCGATCTATGCATACTTTCTTGTGCAAGGGAAGTACAGAACACCAGGAATTTGATATGTACTTTACTTTAATTCAGATAACACAAAAAGAATGATGAGAAGCAGAACATAATACTGAATCCCCCAGATAAATATTGTTTCAAAATGTTGTATGTCATTATTCCCATACGTAAAAACATGGTGTTAAGGGAAAAAAAGACAGCATGCTGAAGGGCAAAGACAGGTAGGAACTTAATTTTCAGTACAATGAAAGTCATAGAAGCAAAAAGGGGTTGGCAGGGGAACACAGACTACATCAAGACTCAAAACCAAAGTCTGATCACCATGGCCTAAATTATTCTTATGTTGTTCACACACCCACCCACCCCCACCCATAAGAGAAAGGAAATACAGTCATCATAACTAAATAGATGCCATTTTTCTAATACTACATTTTTATCTTACAGGAATGCCAATGATATTTAGTTATTTTATCTTTCCTATATGTTCATGCAAAACCATACAAATATAAAATAATTCCTCTTCCTTCTCCCTCTGGATGAACCTATTGTAAAGTCTGCTCTTGGTTTCAAAGCTTGTCAGCTGAATGTAGTGCAACATGGAGGGCTTCTCCAGATGGTAGACAGAGAATATAGTTTCCTTATATAGGAATCTTTACAGATGTTCTGTGTACAGCATCAGCTCTCCAGCTTATTACCTCCTCATTCCTTGCTACTGACCTCAGTGTGCCACATTATCACAAACCAAAATTACAAAAAGAATCTCAAGACAGACCAGTTCATAAAATGAAATGTAAGCAAATCCTGAAGCACACTTTTCCATTCCCATAACCCGTTAAATTCAAGTTCAATGAGCTCAGAACGAACCCTTTACTCCAGCATGTTCTCTTCCTAGGTGCTTAAAAGGTTACCTCTGTCATGTACTTTCATCACAGCAGTGATTTCCAAAATACCAACAGGGTGAAGAAGAATACCGTAACAGCATTAACTGCTGCATCTTTCCCCCAGATGCTTCCAAGAATGCCCAGACACTGCTTGGCAGTCTATGAAAGTTGGAAATGAGAAGCCGGACTAGTGCTGTGTATTATCAGCTACTACTGCCCAGAGAGACCAGTCTCACAGCCACCCTCAGGCTATCAGAATCAGGGGTGACAGCAGCAGAGGAACACAAGCGCAAGCCAGGAGGAATGAGGCACGTGGACAGGGCTTGAATGAAAACAGGAGTCACGATGAAGCTTGGCTGGGAGTGCAGGGTGGGAAGAGGAGGGAACTAGTTAGAAATGCAGCATGTGTGAGAAAAAAGATAAGAGACATCAACCTTGGAAAGACTCCAATAAGCAGTTAGGAAACACAATTTAAGACACAAATATTTTTAAAACAAATGTAATTTTCCACATAAACAACTGCTGCAGTTGAACCCTGTAGGCCCTAGAAAACCCAGAGGACTGTAACAAACAGGATTCTTCCCTTGACAAGTTAACTCAACCTCTCCAGAGCCCCACCTCTTCACAGAGAGTCCCTATGCCTCTGCTTAAATCTTTCACACGTCAGCCATGTGTAAAAGAGATCTGAACTATCCATGGTATTCTTAGTATAAAGGCAGACATGTGTTGAACTGGTTTTTCAAAGGGGGAGTGAGTGAGGAGAAACTTTCCAGCTGAGTGCTGCTGGCCCACACTTCAGCAAAAGGCTGCAAATTTTGCCCCCATTTTTCACAACCTCTGCTTAGGAGATTCAAGATACGAGTTCATAGTCTTGAAAGACACAGCTCTGCTCGCTGTATCTGAAGATACAGAAACTATTGCTTCCCGGCTCCTTATTTTGGCATTTTTCACATCTGGATAGTATGATCCACACTCTAGAAACAGAACATGGGTTCCACTGACTGCACAGAAGTGTTCATTGTTGATGTGCCCCTCCCTGCTGATAGATCTGTGCGTAAAACGAATACAAAGTATGTTTCTATCTAGAAGTTCCATGTACCTTACATTGAGTTTACTGTTGTGGCAACAGCACGTTTATTGAAAGTGATTATAGGCAACATTCATCTGATAAAGAGCGTTAGATCATTCCTTGACACACAGATGGCTACTGAAATTACTTTAGGTCCAGAGAACACTGAATGGAAAACTTTGCTTTAGACACAAACATGAAGAGTCCTCAACCAACAGGAAAATGAGCGAAGAAGGCTTAGAAGTCCTCTTTGGTTGTGGAAACTAGGCTGACTCATAGGGCTATTGGACATAGGACGTATTTTTTAAGCCCAGAGCACAAGGATAGCCTGAACTCATGATCGCACTGACCACAGAAGGGAAGAGCACCAGCTGAGAAGATCGTCTCTCAGTAACATGGGATCCACTCGCTGAACCACTTCAGAAAGCTCTTGCAAAAAAAAAAAACAACACAGAGCCTCCTGTGCTAGTTTGTTGCAGAAACTGAAGTATGAGAGCCACCCTGCAGGATACTAATGGTAGAATAAACAAACTAAACCTGTAGGGGATGCACAACTGTCTTGTGCACAGAACTGCAAGCAATGTAGTGACTGCTCCCTCTGTATGAGGAGGCTCATACAACAAACCTTCCTGCTTGACCAGCAAGTTCATACAGGACAAGGTTATCACTGTACAGACCTCTTTTCATAAAGCAACCAACACATGTTTTTCTTTCAGGCTATGCTGCAAATAAATCCTTTCAAAAAAGGTTTTCAGTGTTTCCTAGTACTAGACACACACATAAAGTTTACTCAACTACCAAAAGCATGTCTAAATGAAGACTATGTTATTGTAAAGATTCATCCCTAACAAAGACCTCAAACACTGCAATCGCAAAAAAACAGCAATTTGGATGAAGAACCATCTTTCTGGTACTGCTCAGGTTCAAACGAAGGATAGCATCCATTATTTCACCAGCTGACTATTTCTTGTTCAATCTGTGGGCCTTCTGCATGTAAAGCATCAAGAACAATGCCACTATTTCCATTGCAAATGGTATGACATGCATCTGAAGCACAAAACTGCTACCAGCAAAACAGACATATCCGCAGGATACTAAACCCACGGATTCATTATACGTCAAATAAAAAGATTATTTGGTTTATTCATGCTCATACAATTTCTGCTTTAAAGTTAAAAGAATAAACAAATGAAGTGGGCTGAAAAAAAACAAACCATAATGCCCTCACCTTTTCTTTTTCCTTTAGATCTTACTCCTGGTTTAAATAAAGGCCCTCGGCTACAACTTCTGCCAACATTATCTAAAAACAAACTCCACAGAAGGAAGGATCGAAAGCAGCAGGTGCATGATTGAAATCAAACTCTCAGGAGCAAATACATTCAGTACTGCTGCTCTGCTAGCAGGGCTGAGGGTGTCACAAGGCAGTGCTGTGCCAGGCTTTCACACACCCCCAGTAACATTTCAAAAGGTATTCAGGAGAAAGATGCAGCAGACACTGGACCAACCTGGAGTATCAGGGACTGTACATAGCTAGTAAAACACAGGAAATCTTAACATGGAATATATCATTAAATATTTCCTTTCACCTGTTAAAGTGAAACTGCCTAATACTCCCATCAGCACCAGGAAAAATGATTCATCAATGCATACGGCAAAACCAAAGTTGAATGTGAGTGAAAACATGCCAAGAATTCTCTAGAAATTATTTTTTTAAAAAAAAACACTTCGTATTCAGAAACAAGTATTCAGATGTCTGCTTTAAAATTCACCATCCAAAAATATATTCTCTTACTTTGACATAATAGTTCTTACATGAACTTATATAATGGAATAAAAAAAAAAAAAGAAAAAAAAAAGATCTATACATTGAGCTTTGGGAAAAGACCCTTGAACATAAATAAAACCTACTGTAAAATTGGGACGGTCCATTACTGTAAATAACTTTAAAAGACATGAAGAAGAAATTATGGCATGTCTGTTCTGCAGTCCTGATGGAATCTCAATGCAGGAAATACATTACCCCAGTAACCTTAGGCACAGCTTGCAACGGTATCAATGACAACCACTGTGCACTCCACCTTATTTTCTATTACGCATGAAGAACCTTGGTATTTCATTAAAAATACACAGACATAATATACATTCTGTTGGTGAATGGCTGAATACAGCTACTAAATTCTTTGAGACTGGGACTGTCTCTCATCTATTTTAATGCTTTAAAATTCCTAACACACGTATATGCAAGTCAAGTCCAGTGTTTGTTAGAAGCTAAATGCTCCTCAGATTGAAATCCTAAAAGCAAAAGAACTGTATTAATATCATCCAAGCCTAGCAGCAAATCTCTCCAGTGCAGAGGAAACAAATTCTCCTGGAGTAAGGGAAAGAAGAAGAAAAAAAAAAAAATAAACCATGTATTTCCCTGGTGCAGATCTATCTGTCTACCAGGCACCTACTTGCTGCCGATTCACTGGTGAGCTTCTGCCTTACAAACACCTTCTCTAGCCTCTGCATATGTGATTAAGCCTCTATGCATAGTCAACCTCACAGCCTCTATTTCCATATTAAACGCTCATAAGAAAGAGCTGAGCTGGTACCCACCTAGAACGTAGTCGCTGCAGTCCAGCATTGCTGTGGTATCCTCTACAGGTTCAGATAGTCCAAGGAAAGGGAGAATGGCAATTTCTATCAAATCTACACTACTGCTCTCGACCGAACACGAAAGGGAGTGGGGAGAAGGGGGAAGAAATACAACTTCAGTTACACCATAGCAATCTTCAACTGAACAGGGAAACTTCAGTTGCTCTGTGGAGTTTTAGTCTCTCCTACTAGCTGTGTCTGACATTGTCAAGGCGACTGAAGCGTGAAAAGTTCCCCTTTTTGTAATAAAATAGAAACAAAGATTGCAGCTGGCAGTTTCCATAATGAAGCTTAATCAGTATGCGCCTGATTAGGGCCTTATGCAAATCTCCCCTCGTTAGCACAGCAGCCAGCACTTTGAAGTCCATGAACAATTCATTTGCAGAGTACACTGAAAGCGCTCCCTGCATAATTTAAATCATGGTATAAATATTTATCAGCTCATTTGCATATTAATTGGCAGTGCATGAAGGGAAAAATTATCTCCCGAGTGCCAGCATAATAATTAGGGAACAAAATGAATTTTCTTCCAATAGCTTGGCTTCTCAGCCCTAACTCAAGCACAGTACCACAGGGGAGCAGGGAGGGGAAGAGACAGAGTTCTGTTGAAATGCCACTGAAATGACACGTACAAATTAGAAACAACTCTACAGACTTAAGCACCTTTAATCTTATTCCTGCTTTCTGCTGGCAACAATAACTTCAGTAATAAAGGGGATTTGGAAAAAGCTTTCTACACAATCCAAATAATCCCATGAAAACAATTAGCAAGGTAGAAGGCTGAACACAAAGCTGTCCGGTGTTTGCACATCTGCATGGAGTTTTCAACATCTGAACACGGACTGTCACAAGAAGGTCCTGGGATGGAAAGAGAGTACCACCAGGGAAAGGAAGAGGCATGATTTCCTTTAAATGTCTAAAGAGCTTGGTGATTCATTATCGGGTAATCCCTTTGCCACGGCCAACTTAACAGCAGTGGATATGTCAAGTATTGTGTAACATCTGACACCCACTAATCTATCCCAAGTGAAATCCAAATAGATTTAGTCTTTTGCTTTCCAATGACTTCCAAGAAAAAAACAAAAATCTATTACTAATCCCTTCCACAAATGTACACAATATAGCTAAACAAAGCTTACTGCAGACCTATGGTTTTCAAAAGGGGAACTTTACACCCCGGTGGCATCTTTGAACCACCCAATGATAACCAAAAGAGACTTGCTGCTATGACCACAAAGTGACTGAAGGACTGGAGAGCTGGAAAGAGGCTTTGGTCTGTGGAGGAATCAATCTTCTTTTCCAAAAGTGGCCCACAGAACTAAGTATACTGATGAACTATGAAGCTAGATTAAACCATTTGAAATAGTTTGTTTACCACTCAAACACTAGTGTCCTAAACAGCAAGAACATTTATACAAAAATTCAAGTGTAATGTGGACATCACAACATTTAATGTTCAATATTCTGAACATTTAATGTTCAATATTCTGATCAGGAAAAGATAAAGGGATGATGCAGGCAACTACAGGGTTGAGCCACCCACTTCCAGATGTTAATGCTAATTTAAAGAGTTGCCTTTTTTTTTTCTTTTTTATTTAAAAAAAAGCTAGCTGTACTTTTCTTCTCCTTATTTTTGAAGTGAATTCAAGCACTGCCTCTCCAAACAAGAGGGAGCAAGAGAAAAGGGACTTCTCAATCATCCAGTACTGACTGGAATTTATTTCCACGCTTGACCTCTTCTTCTGTTCAGGTTCATATCTCTACTTAACACAAGATGTTCCCTGGTATATATTTAACATCAGTGATCTACACTTGAAAAAGATTGCAAGAAGGGAAGGTGCTCCCAAATGCAGGGAAACAACTGCGTGTACTGAATCGGTTTTCCTAATACCTTGTTTCCAACTTGGTTTTCTACTCATTCACGTGTTCCATTGAGACCTTTGAGGCACATCTCCATGGTTCGCAGACCTTCAGTAAACTTCAGTCTTCCATACATGCTTTTGGAGTGCACTGGGAGATAATCCATTTGCTTCATCAGAAGAGTCTGGACACAAATGGTATAATAAGCCAAGCACTTCACAAAGCAAGTGCCGGTTTAAGTAGTGGCTGAGCTGAGGCAGCCAGTAGCGTAGTAAGACGACAGCAGTGTTATCTTTGGGATCCTTTTCAAATGAGTCTGTGTTGAGCTGGTTGAACACAGGTGCAGCATCAAAAGCACACGACCGCAGGAAGTGACCGTTAAAAGCAGGCACGTGTGTAGTGATGGATGACTTGCATCAAACAACAGAACAAGCAAACAGCAAATAAAGGCCAAGGATGTACCTGAAGCAGTGTGCTGGTGGTACCATGGTGCTACTCATCGTCCACGCTATCAACATTGCACTGACAGTTAACAAGGACAAGGCAGAAGTTTTCTTCCCATTCCCAACTGTGCCAATCAATCTGCCTTACAAACACCAACCCCCACACAAATGTTCATTTGAACTGTAACTTCCACTAACCTGCTAATTGAAATAAAACTTTATAGATTGACTAACAATTGAGGAGGGGGGAGGGGGATACCATTCTTCAGTGACCATTTCATTCTTTGACAATTCTATTATCTTCCCTTTTATGCAAGTTCTTAATTTTTGGAAAAAAACTATTTATCCCATAGGCTTTCGAATGATGCCTGAAGCCACAAGTAGGAAAACATTTGGGGAGGAACAGTGCCTATCACCCTGGTTCAAAAACAATGGCGGAATATGCTAGTTCGACTTTCTGTTTAGGTTCTGCCACATCACTGGCTGTTCTTTTCTTTCTTGATTTTTAATTTAAAAGTTACTTAACACCCTGAACCAAAGTCATACTTCTGTAGTCACATTTAAGCAAAATACCACTCTGGGCTTTGCACACAAAGTTTCATTTTGCCTCCAAAGACACCTCTAAGAAGAGAAAGTGCTCACCTTGTGAGTATCAGTGCAAAAAACTCTATACATCCCACGCAACTACAGACATCTTAAAAATTGTTGCCCTCCTCATAACCCAATTCTACAATTCTTACATTGATGATTTTTCTCACACAATTCTATTCATACTTTTCCTTAAAACCAAAGGAACCAAGCCACTAACACAGAGCCAGGTATGACAAAGGAAGATGTTCTTCAGTCAAACACTTCAGAGTCTGCAGATAAGGCTTCAGGAGATGCTTTCTATCCCGCCTTTTCTTCTTTCCACTCTTTACATATCTTCCATACCTTTTCCTTTAAAATGAATGCTTTTGTTTTGCTCTTTGTCCCAACAATATGTCACTTTATTTATTCAGTTCTCACGATTATACCTGATACTTTAATACCTTACTTTTTGGAAAGGGAATCTCATTTTCCCCTGCAGGTTATGCATTTCTTGGTTAGACCTTGCTTTGCATCTCATCTTTTATTTCTCCTCCTGTTTTTTTTTCCCATTTATTATGCCCAATTGACCGACTGTAAACTCCACAAAATTATTCCCCAATGTCACCTATTGTAAATGTTATAGATAGTTAAAGTTACAAACTAAGGGGAAAGGATGTCTAAACCCTTATCTTCAGATGGTGACGTGGACTCTCTTTTTCTTTTCTTTTTTCTTTGCCTTTTTTAAACAATACAAATGCAGCAAAATTCAAGGGATAAAGGGTAAAGTTATTACCAACATTATTCTATTCAAAATGGGGCGGGGGAGGGGGATCTTGATTTTTATACAGATATGTTTCCATATATTAGTAAAACATCATTTACTACATGACCTCAATGACAGCTAGGAAATTTCTGCCACTAGCCAGCTCTGTGACAAGCGTGACCTTTGTAAACTTTGCGGGCATGCTTTCTGACACAACATGGCAAGACTACCCAATAAGCCAAAAACCTCATTACTTCCCTTTTGAAAGGTGTACTTAGAATGATACAAAGAAAGGAAATATGGTATTAATTGTAACATATTAGCATATTGCCTTCACTACTTTATCAGTGTCTAGTATATTGTATATTGAAGAACCACTGAAGAAGACTGGTCACCAAAGTTTTGAAAATAGTGCATGAATAAGCACAATGTCAGTGAACACTGGCAACACTTGGAGTAAGGCTGCTTTCTGTATGCCATACAAGCCAAGCGCATAGCAGATACCGCTAACCCTAGGCTGACATTACACAGAGCTACTACATTTTAACTCAACACATTTCCAAGTCTCCATTCCACAAACTAACTGAAACTTAATAAGAATTTCATCAAATAGAACTCCAATGTGCTATAAAAAAACCTATAAATATCACGCACTTCAACAAAAGAAACTGTTATTAAAGTTGGCACAATCCTCTTAAAGTAATTATGGACAGACAGACACCAGCCCGTTCATAGGGCTGCAAACTAAGCTCTAATTTTAGCCACCACCTTTGACTTTGCCTTACAAAATTGATTTTATCTGAAAATTGCCAAGTTTGCTCTGAAAGCCAAAGAGAAGTTGTCTGGAAAAGTCAAATAAAATTGGCCTGGTTTAGAATTACCGGTCATTACGCAATTGCTATGAATTGGAATTTTAGTCTACATCTAATTTTACTTCTCTCTCACAAACTCAAATCATAACTATCCTTTCAAACTTTCCACCGCACAAAGTGTCTTTCAAAACTCTTTTGTGTACCTTTTTTGAAGAAA